ATAAAAAAATAAAAAAATGATCAAAAACAATTGAACAGATCGATGAATCAATGATTTGATCACCTGGATCAATAATTTGTTAACTTTTTCAATGATTTTTGACGAAATTCCGAGTTTTAGATAAACAAAACCGATTGCCTTAACGGTTCCTATGCCGAACGGTTCGAAAACGTTGATCTAAATAATAAATTGGGCGTGCTATGTCAGTACATCACTCCTTTTTCCCCACTCTTTCCTAATTTCTCAAATTTTTGAATATTTTCAATTTTTGTGAAAGATTAATGAGCCCTGTCATCACCCTAATAGACCTTTCGTTTCCCATTCCCAAAAGGTTTCTCGCAACTCCCACCATGTCAATTACACTCCATTATGCGGAAAAAGATGTACACTCACCTTTTCGCGAATCTCGAGCCAGAGACCCTTTGTCTTCTCTTAAATCTCGTTTTCTGCTCCATCCTTGAAAGACAGACCTCTTCGTATATGACGTTCTAAGGTTGTGAAGAGATTATGCAGATTCAGGTTGAATACAGCCATTGTTCTAACGATTTTGGGCTTCAAGTTTCAAAAATCTTTTTCCTTTTGGCAGTGCCACTCATTTCAGAAGGCTCATTTATGTCAGCTCCAATCTTCGGAACGGCCCATTTGTCTAGAGGATGAAGTGATGATATATCGTCCTTAGAGAACAATTTTATAGATCAATGAAACGGACCAAATGGATGATCAATGATCCTCTTAAAAAGACACGTATTGGACACTACTTGTAAAAACATCAAATTGACATTTCATGTAGAAACAACTATGCTAATAAACATTCTAGGTAACATTGATTCTCACCTGTGATATGTGATGACACATTTCTTTTAATTAATTTTTACCATAAAAAGTAAAAATAAATTATTTTAAACAAATGTGAAAACTAAATTAATAAAATATGATTAATAGTCATATCAATATTAATAGTATAATATTTAGGGAGAATGACGGTTCAGCCTAGGGTTAGAATATTTAGGGCCAATACATATCGTCCCTATATTGGCCCATACATATCATTCCGGGATTCCTTCGTTATGCCTTTACAGTGGGTGCATCGGAGGCTTGACTGGTTCGGGGGTAGAGGAGACCTAAACCACCCCTTGAACTGGTTGCAAAAAAAAATAAAAAAAAGGCAATAAAAATGTGTATTGATTCGCCCGATATGCCCCTATCGGCGTATCGGGCGTATCAATATTTTGAACCTTGGCCCAAAGTAATATTTGACATTTTGAATGTTTAGTGAAATTCAAAAATTTGCATTAGACCTATCTGTACTTTTCCTTAATATTTATAATTAATTATACATGGGTAATTCCATTTAAATATAATTACACTTTACAACTTTCAATAAAATTTTAAAATTATTAATTCTAAATTATTACACATGAAATTTGCCACACACAATCTATCATTAGGGGTTCAACTTTTATTGGACGTGTAAAATGACCCAAAAATAATTCTTGAGTTGGACCTAAATAAGTTTGACTTAGGTGGAGTTCAATAGCGTATATATATCACGGATGTAATCATTTTGGTTTTGTCCACGATAAGATATGGCGTTCTACTATGTGTGGATGTCCCCGTTCACAAAATAATGTGGAGAGGGACGAGTCACACCACAATTTATCATCCATAGTATTTTCTCATGGATGATCCGCACTATGGTGTGGACAATTTGTGGAAAGGTTTCAATGTAACGCACTTGTCCAATTACTTTCATTTTATTTAATCTTTTAATAATTTTTAAAATTTTAATATTTTATCAATAAAATAATAAATTTTAATGTTAATTCTAGCACAAGTTTGATTGTTTTCCTTCTCAACTCTTNTTAATAATTTTTTAAATTTTAATATTTTATCAATAAAATAATAAATTTTAGTGTTAATTTTAGCACAAGTTTGATTGTTTTCCTTCTCAACTCTTTTTTCATTATTTAAATATTATTTTTTTAATTTTTTTTATATTTAATTTTTATTTTTAACATTTAAAATAATATTTCTTAATTACTTAAAAAATGCAATTGTAGTCTAATATTGATGACTTTTTTTCATTTTATTTACCAAATAAAATGCAAAAATTAGACATTTATGATCGACTATGTAAATATCCCATAAAATGTATATGAGATATATGGAATCAACACCACACCTACAGAACACCATTGTGGGTGTGGACTGGTCTGGTCCAGTCCACACAATTTATCTATAGTTCAGAAAAACTGTGGACTATGGTGTGGTATAGATTGGCCCCTACCACAAGGTGTGGTGTTCATCTACACTATAGAACACCCCCTTAATTCAGCATGCCTCTCCTTCCAGCAAAGGTATTTACCTAGTTTCTCTTTTTTGCATTTTTCTAATTTTCTTTTTATTTAAAAATATAATAAAGTAATCATGATAGACACATAATTAAAAGAGAGAGATATTATATTATTAAATAAGGAGAGACATAGAAAGACTTTTGGATTTTAAGTTATCTCATCTCAATGCATGTTACTATACATTTAAGAGTAGTAGTAATAGTTAATAATTATTAATAAAACTTAGTAAAAATTAAAACAAATTTATCTTATAATAGTTAATAAAAATTAAGAAATTAGGTTTCCTTAAGATGTTAATTAAAAATCAACTTTAATAAAAACTAATAAAATAAAAGGAAACTAAATTAAAAAAAAATGATGGAATGTCTTAAAAATATTATGACTTAAAATCCATTGGATATAATAAACATGGGTTTGATATATTGTACATAGAACCTATATTCTATTGTTGTATCATGTTTTGTTTATTCTTTTCATTTTATTAGATAAGTTTGTATTAATGCATTTTAAAAAGATTAGTTTAATAATATTTTATTACTTTAATAATATTAGGGTTTTGTATTATGAGTTCTTTAGTCCTTAAAAGGAGCCAAAAATACTCAAACATCCTTACATCACCCCCTTTCTTTCTTTAATTATATAAATGCTATCTCTCTCTTTCTCATTAACTCTCTATTAATTAGAACTGTTCATGGGCCGGGCTCAGGCTTGGGGTATTGCCAAAATTTGAATGGGCCCAGCCCAAAGCCCGAGCCTGATATAGTGTAAAGTCAGGCCTAAAGCTCAGCCCATGAACAGGTCTAATAGTGTGCAACTTTAAATATTAATGATATCAATTTTGTTAATGATAATAATTATTGTTTTAAAATTTTAAAACAAAAGGAAATAAGAAAAATACAAAAAAGGAGAAAATAGATAAATACCTATGCTGCTTTTTGTAAATACAAATATATTTATTATTTTATATTTTTAAATAAATGGTTATTTTATTATTTTATTATATTTTTATTTATTATTAATTTTAATTATCCTATTAATATTAATTATACTAATTCTTATAAATGGTCATCCCTAAGTACAAATTAATACTAATTTTATTAATTTCTTATCTTTTAATATTTGTTTTAATTTTAGTAATTTTTTATTAATTATAGTTATTAGGTTTCAAATTATACATTATTATTATTATTATTATTATTATTATTATTGTATGTCGTGTATCACAGGTTACAAGTTTCTATACAAACCCGTTTAGGTTGTCTTCTTCGTATAAATGATAAAACAGGTTCTTTATTTTAAATTTTCATTAACTTTTTATTTCTATATCATTTTTAATGGGTCTTCTATTCTATATAAGTCTTTTGTGTAGTATGGGCACTATGCACAATAAAGATCTTAACTCATAAAAATTATTAATTTTAATAATATTGTTACTTAATTAATTAATTAAAATTATATTAATACAAAGTTATCTAATAAAATAAAAAATAATATATTAATAAATGATTCTAATTTTATTAATGTTTATTAAGTATGATTTTTATTAGTGTTTTTAATTGTTACTAAGTTTTGTTAATATTTATTAGTTTTAAGTGGAGGTTCAGTGGATTCTTAAATTAATATTTTCATTTTTGTTGTTTTATGTTTGATTGTTAAACCTGAACCTATTTATATTATTTGACTTATTAATATTTGACTTTATTATGTTGTATTACTCAATGTTTTAAAAATGACATAAAAACGGAACCGTTCTAGACACTGGTTTCCAGGTTAACAGTCTAACCGTCCAATTCGAATGGACGGCCCGTTCTGACAAACAAATTAGAAAATAATTAAAATAACGATAAAAAACTATTGAATTGGTTGATGGTTCGACTACCAGGGTGAACGGGTTATTGACTTTTTTGATAGTTTTTGGCCAAAGACCAGGTTTGGGGTAAAACAGAGCTGGTTGCCTAGATAATTCCCAAGCTGAATGGTACGACTGTCTGCATCAACGACAGTTCGAAAGACTTGGTGTTACTACTCTCTCTCTCTCTTTCTATCTCTCTCTTTCTCTTAAATGCCTTTTTTAAATGTAATAATAACATACATTAAAATAAGAGATTTTGGCAAACGGAAATGTCTCTCTTTCTCTCTCTAATAGTGTGAATTTAATTTAATCAAAATAGGTAATGATTATTTTTTTATATTTTTAAAACAAAAAAATAAAGAAAATAAAAAAATGAAAAAAATAGATAAATAACTTCTCTCAAAGAAGAGACATGCTGACATGGACCGTCCAACCTAACCCAACCTAAGTGTTTTCCCAAAGGTCTGTAGATTCCTCTTTCGTGATACATTTCCAAAGAGCTTTCTTAATATATTCCTTTCCCTAGCTCCACACGCCTCCAGATCGTAGAATGTTCTTGCTTTGCTTCGAATTGAATTAAATAATCTTTCCCTCACCTATACTTCATTCGAGTTTTTTGAAAATATTGAATCTTCCCTTTTCCAAACTTCACACGCAATCTCAGCAAGAAAAGCCTGGTTAAGAATATTTGAATCCATAGCACCTACAACTCCGTACTAGGTGGAATATAAGTAATTTTTATCTTGCTTGCTTCCCAATAAGAATTTTATTTTTTTAATTTATCCAAGTTGTGTGACACAGGTTCGTTGGAAGTTTCATCATTTGCATTGTGGCATATATTGTACTGGGAGAGAGAGAGGTAAACTTTGATATGTGTACAAGGCAGCTGAGCCACATTAGTGATTTGGTGCGGTTTGAAATTTAATTTCCCCATTTAATTATTTCTCTGTTTTCAGTTTTCAAGTAAGTATCACTAACTAATGCGGTATTTGGTTTCATTGTTGTTTTATGAGAAAATGGTGTTAAGTCGGAGTTACATTAGTGATTCATCTTTTAATGATCAAATCTGTTGTTTGGTTGGCCGTTTTCTTAGAAAATGGAAAAGAACACTGATTCTCAAAATTGAAAAAAATTGGGAAATGCCAATTTTGACGTTTTTCTTTTCTCTAAATGTTGCAAGGCATGATCACTGATGTGGCTCGATTTGGTTCGGTTTTCTTACCAAAGACCTCCAAACATTGAAAACACCAGACCATTGCATTGCCATTTTCTGAAAAGACAAGACGTAATGTAACCAAACACCTCCTAATAATATTCATTTATGCTGTATTTGGTTTAAAAGAAGAGGTAGGGAAAGGAATGAAGGGAAATATAAGAAAACCATTACAAACCTTCATTTCCTTTGGTTTCTCTACTATTTTTTTCATCAAACCAAACAAGCTAGCCTTAAGGAAAGACATAAACAGCCCCCTATATAGAATTCTAGAGCAACAAATGTTTCAGCTGCTCTTGCATGTGGGAGGGGCCCTTGCCTGGAAAGTCGGAAGGACAGTCAAACCCACTAACCCCTAAGGCTCAGTTTTGAAGGAGTACAAATATAAATATGTACAGTGCAAATACATATAAAATAATACAGAATATGAGGTTTTGCATTATACAAATTTGCATTTGTACTCTTTTCAAACTGAGCCTAAGAAATTCATCCAATACTCACTAAAGAGTAAAGAACGCACAGAGGGAAATTGAATCATTGAAGGGTCTTAAATTTGATTCTATTAATTCACTCCTTGGGCTGAGTTTGGAAGGAGTACAAATGCAAATATGTAGAAGACAAAACCTATATTTTGTATGTATTTACGCTGTACATATTTGCATTCGTACTCCTTCCAAACTGAGCCTTGAAAACAAAACGTGCTTTTACAAAGCAACGAATCCTAATTAATGGAACAACATTAATTGCATTACTTACTTTTGTATAGATTATATATATATATATATATATAGCACCCACGAGACAGCTCTCACTTTGCTAGGTCTAGAAAAGGTGACCAACAAACCTGATGACGATCATGCTTTGTTTACGTGGAGAGAGAAGGATAACACATTACAGCAGCTCTCATCAGATACTGTTGGTTGGGGAGGGAGATTTCTCCTTCTCTGCTTGCTTAGCCAAGGCTTTCCGCTCCGCTACAAACATGGTCTCCACTTCCTTGGATTCTAGAAGTAATACACTATCTTTTCTGGTTTTCTGTTATCAATTTTTTTTTTTTTTTTTTTCTGGAAGTCAAGAGTGTTCAATTGGGTGGTGCCTTATTCTAATCTGAATCTTTTGGGTATGAAAACACACAGAAATGCTTTTGTTTAAACACCCAACAGCAAGGGAGAACTTGGACGTACTGGAGAGTCTGGGTGGCGCTATTGTGCATGGAATGGATTCACATACCATGGTGCAGCATCCTTTCCTCAAGGATAGAAAGTTTGACAGAATAGTCTTTAATTTTCCTCATGCGGGCCTTATCTACCCGTCTGAATGTGCGCAGGACCAAATTAAGTAAGCTTCCACACAAACAAACTGAACTGCTTTAGGTGTTGTGGGTTCTGTTCAATTCACATGTGCGCCCCATAACACATCCCAACCGTATATTGGGATGTGCATGTGGGAGATGTTCTCGGTGCATGCTGAGATGTGCATGTGGGGCGCCCATGAAACGCTCTTTGTTGGGCGCAGACGTCAACTCGGCTCAGTTGTGTATCAACCATGCATACGACATCATCTTCTGTTGGTCTACTTTTCTTTGCCAAAACTCAAAACAATTGAACCACTTCAACTTCTGTCATATCTTCGTGGAGTTGAAGCCCAGAACAAAGCTAGAAAATCCAAGCCCAATCCTTTCACTAATCCTGTTTGGTACAAGATGGGCCCACCTTTGTGTGGTTTCTCCACTACAACTCTACAAATCCTGTTTGGTACATATACATAAAGATAAAGGCCTAGAGTTAAGGGGGTGATCATTTGTAACCCTGCCCCAGAATTTTCAGGCTTGGACAACCTCGGTGTAGCCCCGGCCTACAACATCAAGCCTGGAAATTCCTTGGCCTTGGCCCAATATCTTAGGCCCAGCCCGACCAGCAGTCCTACTTACTTCCATGCATGTGGCATTTAGCTGTAAGAATTAAAATGGTGTTAGCAACTTAACCTTCCTTTGGATGTCATATTCCAATCGGATGATTCAAAATGAATCAGCTAGCATTTGTAGAACATGCATTGATAAACTGTGTAAAGAAAACCTGAAGATTTATTACTTAACCTTGATATATATATATATATATATATGTTTATGTTCCCTGGCCTGCAGGCTTCATCAAGGGGTGGTGAAAGGTTTCTTTACAAATGCACGTGATATGCTGACAGAAAAGGGAGAAGTTCACGTGACACATAAGACAACTCATCCTTACAATAAGTGGGAGGTGGAGAAGCTAGCGGAAGAGGAGGGACTCTGTTTGGTTGAAGAAGTAGGTTTCTCTAAGAAGAACTATCCAGGATATCACAACAAGAGAGGTTATGGAAGGAAAAGTAACCGGACTTTTCGAGTGGGAATGTGCAGCACATTCAAATTCTCTTTGTCAAAGTCAACAAAACAGTCCGATATATAATTATAGGCCTTTATATTGGACTACAAGAAATCCAACTTCTTCCCCCAATTATATTATTCTGGTGAAAAAATGAGATTGTGTACAAGCTAAGTGCATCTTGGGAATCTCTTACAGTAGATTCAAGGTTCAAAATTTTCTAAATCGCCATCGTACCATGGGTTCACTTAAACGCCAGTCCCAACTACAGTCGCATATTGGGAACATCTTCCTCTGAATGGCAAGATAGATGTTCCCAATATGCGGCTACAGTGTCCTGTTGGGACAGTGTTGGGAGCTTTTTGTTGGTATTAGATCCCTATTCTTTTTAAAGTTTTCCCCACAACCGAAACTTGTGTTTTTAAACATTTAAAACTGATTCTATGGCTCAGTTCTGAACGAGTATAAATACAAATATGTACAGTTTTGAAGGAGTACAAATACAAATACAAGGTTTTATACTCTACATATTTGCATTTGTATTCCATCCAAACTCAGCTTTTGTGAAAATTTCAAAGTGAAAAAAATAAAAAGGTACACCCAAAAAGAGGAATGGAGTTTTGATAATTTAAACCTCGAATGGATTTTTTCCTATTTATATTTGGGGTTGGGACCTGTTTGGGAGAATTGGAGTTTTCATTGAGCTTGAGCTGTTTTGGGGAAGCCACCAAAAGATGATTTTACAAAATAGGCAGGATCTACTGAAAGCAACAAGTGCGCAAACACCGGCCCAGAGCCCCAGAATGGATCCTTATTTGGTCAAATTATAAGCATATACATTTAAAAAATTATCAGATTGAATACTGTTTAGGGGTGCAACTAAGGTTGGTCCAAGTTAGCATTTTAGACAGATTTTGGCTTGGGCCTTGGCTTGGTCCAAACTAGCCCAACCCAATCTTGTCCAAGTTGCACCCTTAATAGTATCAAATTTGATCAGAGTGGTTTCAAAATTTAAGATCACCTTTCAAACTCAAAATCTAATTCAAACAAATTATGACATTTGAATAAGATGAACTGGCCATGAATAGGGAAACAACATACCTCTCATAAGTCATCTAGTAAGACAACGATTATCTAGAGGATTAAATCGTACTTGTTGTTTCGAGGGTAAGTCTCATGCCCCCCTCCATATCATTAATAAATTCTTTTTTTTTTTTTTTTCTTTAGACTGCGTTTCGTTGCAATGCAATATTTTGCACTAGTACAAATGCATGAGAGTGTAAATGAAAAAATGCAAATTCTGGTTTAATTATGTTTGTGGTTTTATTTTATTCTGCTTCATGTTTTAATTCACTTAATTTGTACTGCAATTAAACAAAATAAGTTAAAATTTGAAACAAAAATAAGTCAAAATTTATACTCAAATCATTTGCACTGCCATGATTTTGCATCAATACAAATTTATTTGCATTGCAACCAAAGACAGCCTTGAGAAAAAAAGATAATGGTCTTGATACGTAAAATAAATTCAAAAAATTTATGTTGGAGTACTCAATGACAACAAACAATATGAACTTTCAATTATAGAATGTGATATGATAAAAAACCAAGTTTTACCTAAAGAGAAAGGAAGGGAAAAAGATATCCTAATTCGATAAAAAGTCTAGTAGAAGTTTTGAAGATAAAGGATGATGATTAAGGAGATATTTTAATTGAAGTATGTCAACACAATTTGAGTCTATGGATCATGTAAAACCTTGACTTTTCTTATGTTCATGTATATCTTTTTTGTTATATTAATTTTACTATTTTCTTTGTAGAAACTTCGTGCAGGATTGAGGGTGGAGTTGATAGATTTCATAGTCTTTTTTTCTTAATATTGAGACTTTTAAGGCCGTGTTTGGCAAGTCTTTTCGCGTGGGCTTCGGGCTGTTTCGAAGCACAGAAGACTGAATTTTACGCTTTTTCTGTTTGGTAATAGAAAGATCTAATCGGGAAAAGCTCCAGCCCATAAAAGACGCCAAAAACCTGAATTTGGGCTTTTTCAGGAAGCTTCAAATGAAGCTTTTATAATCTTTTAGCGCCATGTCTTCTTTGAACATGTGGTACGATATACACGCTTGAGAGAAACTTGGTCATCTTTCCACAAAAACTATTTGAATGTGTAAGTGGGACCTACCAATGATATGTGGGGCCTACCATGGGAAATGTATGTAGGGCCCACATTAGGTATTATGTGGGATCTACCTTGAAGAATGTATGTGGGCCCCACATACATGTCCAAACATGGACCCACATGCATGTCCACCAATTGCATGGTATGATCACTGATGTGGCTGGATTTGGTGCAGTTTTCTTACGAAAGACCTCCGAACATTGAAAACACCATACCATTGCATTGCCTTTTTCTGAGAAGACAAGACGTACCGTAACCAAACACTTCCTAGTAATATTCATTTATGCTGTATTTGGTTTAAAAGAAGAAGTAGGGAAAGGAATGAAGGAAAATATAAGAAAACCATTACAAACCTTTCATTTCCTTTTCTTTCTCTATTATTTCTTTCATCAAACCAAACACAGCCTTAGGGAAAGAGACAAATGTTTCAGCTGCTCTTGCATGTGGGAGGGACCCTTTGCCTGGGAAGTCGGAAGGACAGTCGAACCCACCAACCCCTAAGAGACTCATCCAGTACTCACTAAAAAGTAAGAAGAACGCACAGAGGGAGATTGAATCATTGAAGGGTCTTCCAAACTGAGCCTTGGAAACAAAACGTGCTTTTACAGAACAATGAATCCTAGTTAATGGAACAACATTAATTGCATTACTTACTTTGTATAGATTATATATATAAGAAAAGGTGACCAACAAACCTGATGACGATCATGCTTTGTTTACGTGGAGAGAGAAGGATAACACATTACAGCAGCTCTCATCAGATACTGTTGGTTGGGGAGGGAGATTTCTCCTTCTCTGCTTGCTTAGCCAAGGCCTTCCGCTCCGCTACAAACATGGTCTCCACTTCCTTGGATTCTAGAGGTAATACACCAACAACCTTTTCTAGCTTGTTTTCTGTTATCATGACTAAATAACCATGTATCACAAACTTGATATCAATTTCTTGCTTCCACAAACCATAGTTTATTTTTTTTCTGCAAGTCAAGAGTAGTGTTCAATTGGGTCGTGCCTTATTCTAACCTGAATCTTTTGGGTGTGAAAACACACAGACACGCTTTTTCTTAAACACCCAACAGCTTGGCTCAACTTGGAAGAACTTGAGAAGCTGGGCGGCGCTATTGTGCATGGAGTGAATTCACTTACCATGGTGCAACATCCTTTCCTCAAGGATAGAAAGTTAGACAGAATAGTCTTCAATTTTCCTCATGCGGTCTCAGTCTGAATGTTTAAGTAAGCTTCTACCCAAACGAACTGAACTGCTTTAGGTGTTGTGGGTTCTGTTGAATTCACTTCTGCGCCCCACAGAACATTCCAACCTTCTATTAGGATTGCGATGTGGGATGTACATGCGGAAGATGTCCCACAGCACATCTCCGCCGTGTCCCGATGAGGCGATGATAATACCAGAACGGATGATTTCATCCTGGGCATCGGAAGATGTTTCCAATACATAGCAGACAATCTTGTGCGGGGCTGATTGAACACTTCAACTTATGTCATATCTTCTTGGAGTTGAAGCCCAGACCAAAGCTAGAAAATCCAAGCCCAATCCTTTCACAAATCCTGTTTGATACACGATGGGCCCACCTTTGTCTGTTCTCTCCACTACAAGTCTACAAATGACAAATCCTGTTTGGTAACATACATAAAGATACAGAGCTAGAGTGAAGGGGTGATCATTTGTAACCCAGCCCCTGAATTTTCAGGCTTGGACAACCTCGGTGTAGTCCTGCGGCCTACAACATCAAGCCTGGAAATTCCTGGGCCCAGCTCGACTGTAAGAATTAAAATGGTGTTAGCAACATAACCTTCTATTGGCTGTCATATTCCAATTGGATGATTCAAAATGAAGCAGCTAGCATTTGTAGAACATGCCGCATCCTAGTCCCATACGCCACAACTCGAATCACCATTGATAAACATTGTAAAGAAAACCTAAAGATTTATTACTTAACCTTGATATATATCATCCCAGGCGTCACCAAGATGTACTGAAAAGTTCTTTAGAAATGCACGTGACATGCCGACAGAAAAGGGGAGAAGTTCACGTGGCACACCAAACGGTTTATCCTTACAGTGAGTGGGGGGTGAAGCTAGCGGAAGAGGAAGGACTCTGTTTGGTTGAGGAAGTAGCGTTGTTTAAGTGCAGTGGGACTATCCAGGATATAACAACAAGAGAGGTTGTGGAAGGAAAAGTAATCGGACTTTTCCATTGCGAAGATGCAGCACATTCAAATTCGGTTTGCCAAAGTCTACAAAACAGAGTCCTATATATAATTATGGGCCTTTATGTTGGACTACAAGAAACCCGACTTCTCTTTTATGCATCTTTTGGCTTACAAAACAAGTTCAACTTTGAAAGATTGGGTGTATCGGGTCGAGGGTCTCTGCGAGAGAGATGATTTATTGATTTGTACTTGAATTCTCTCTGCTTTCTATGCGTTGCTTTTTGTCCTTATGTTTTCCTACTTTTTACTAATCGCTTGAAGGTCTTGGGTTTGTTCTACGGTACTGATGCCCTCTTTAATGTATTCATTGCATACTTGCCCTGTTTGGCAAGGTTTTTCCGTGGTACCTTTTGGCTTAATGAAGTTTGGTGAAAAAACTAGATTGCGCAAATTTATTATCCTTCAACCGAAAATGTGTTTTTCAGACAACCTGAATTTGCTGAAAGCCAAAAACATGCAAATACACTAAGAATACAACATTCAGCCACAGAAGGGTAACATCTCCGGACTCTTGAACCTTTTTTTTTTTTATCAAGCCCCAAAATTTACATTCGCTGGAGGGATGTAGAACCGTTACCCTCTCAAAAAGATCTATACATGACGTCGTCGGCTCAATATATACAATCAAAATTTCAAGCACTCCAAAAAAGAGTAATAAAACCAAAATAATCGACATGATTGAAGGTAAGGAAGCCTTGTGCCGTCCTCTCCTAGTTTGGATTTGACAGTCATTGGGATTTCCTCAGGACAGCTGAAAATGGTCATATACTTGGGTCAGTGC